ACTTAATCGAAGGTGTTGACACCTTACTCGATTTTTAGCAAAACCTATGCCTAATTTATTATTTTGAGTGAATATCACTTCTATTCGAATTATAGCTTTTTAAATTCTATAAATATTTACCCAAATTCAAAATTGGGACAGCTTTTTGGAGACCGGTAACAATCCTATTTTGGTAATTTTTATAGATTAAAATAGAGATTCTATTAATAATAAGATATCAAAAATTTTAATTTCTTCAAATTGAGTTTTTATTTTTCCTTGATGTTTTTATATTCATATCTATAATTTTAGATTTTATTATTTTTAATATAAATTAATTTATTTTATTAAGATTAAGATGTAACCTAATCAGTTTGTTATAGATTTTATGATTTTATACTTTCAATTAAAATTATTTGTATGATAAGTTTATATTATTGAATTTAATGTATTAAAAATCTGATTACTTTTCAATTGATTTAATAATTTATGCATAAATATGAAAAAGAATTACGTAAGTTAAACCAATAATAATATAAGTCATGTGTTAGACAATGATACCGAAAGGTAATTAGCGTCACACGTGGTAACGAAATAAGACAAGAGAGTTAGGAGCTCTCACTTCTTAAACTAAAGGTTTTCATAGAATTTAATGTTTATCTGTATGTTTAAAATTATATAGAAATATGATTAATTTGACAAATAAAAAAAAGATTAACTTAATTTAAGAAAACTAAATAATTAATTTAAGTAAATACGCTATCATATATAATGATACTCAACAAATTGATTTTAGAAACATATTAATTCAAAATGTAAATTAATTGATTATGGTAAAATTGATGCTTTGATACCTTATATCTTAATTAGTTTTATTTTAATTGTTATTATTTTGATTATTTTTAATTAAAATTTCTTTCTTTTCAATTATTTAAATAAATTTAGATTAATTATTTTTTGTAGTTAATTAAATACATTGACATTTTTCTCATCATTATATTATTTCGAATAATTAGTGCACTTGTTGTTAGAATGAACATTTTGATATTCAGCTGAGGAATGATAAACGCAGTATACTTAAAATTCAGCTAGTCTTCAAACAAAGACATCTCTTGAATCTTGCACTGTTAAAAATTGAAATATTTGGCATTTATTTTGGAAAAAGGACAGTTTTCTTGAATTACAATTTGCACAGAAAGTAGAAACATTCGCAGATGCAAAAATTAAAAGGTTAAAACCCCAATGATCCCTCTACTTTGATAAAAAGTTACTTTTTAATCTCTCTACTTAAAAAAACCTTTTTTTGGTCCTTAAAGTTTGAAATCCAACCCCTTTTTAGTCATTCCATCAAGTTTTGATTTTAGATGATGAAAATTTTATGAGAGGAACCAAAGAGAGACTTTTCTTTAAAGCAGAGAGACCAAATTAAAATTATTTTTAGCCCATTTTTTATTCCTTTACTTTGAAATTTCCGTTATTTAATGTGTCACATATGCAAAACTTAACTAATATACCACATATGCAAAACTTAATGAAGAAACTTAAAAGGGATCGGATTTCAAACTTTAAGGATCAAAAAGTGGCTTTTTTAAGTAGAAAGATTAAAAAAGAGCTTTTTAACAAAGTAGATGGATCAAAATGGAGATTTAACCAATTTAAAACACAAGTTAAAAATTCGATGTTAATTAGTGGATACCAAAGTAGCTGATTTGATTTAGATGGGTTAAGAGTTTAGCAACACATAATGGTAACTAATAAGGTAATTTCATGACTACCCATTTCCAGAAAACGAAGTATACACCGTTGGAATCAACATTGTAATAATTAATGTTTATTGAATATTGCAATTATAATCAAGAGAGAAAAGAGGTCCACTTGATCAAACTTTGGAAGCATGACTACCTGGCCACCCACAAAAGCATATGTATCAGCTGCAATAATGCAACTAACAGAAATCAAGGTTGTCACAAGACCCACTGTCGAATGAGCTCCGCCATCAAGAAGATGGGCCATGCTGCAACAAATCCTGACAAACACAAGCACTTACAAAGTTATGGTTTGCTGAAATTATAAACCCTCCATTTTTCTTTGACCACTAGGAATGTGGTGCCTAGTTAGGGGAGAGTATGGGACAAATGCATTGTCATGTAGAGAAATAAAGATGAGCCATAATGCATATAATTGAAAATAACAGCATATCTTTGCTAATTTAGAACACAAGTAGTCTTTTGGTTCTAATTTGAAAAAAAGGCAAGGTTATCCCTACTTTAGCAAGTCTGTTAACTATCCAAAGGTACCATCAGAAAACTATAAAATCCAACTTTCATTTTTCTGCTGAAGATGAAGTGAAGAAGAAAGTTGCTGGCCATGTTGACTGATGCTCAAGCCATTTAACTGCAACAATGATCTGAGATTTGAGGGGAAACACTGGCCAAACATATTTGCTACATCAAACTAATACGTATGGATTTTTTTTTTTTTTTTGCCAAACAATACTTATCCCTTTTTAAAGCTGAATACAGAAGTTGATCTCAAAAAGAAGATATCAGATATAGGCCTAGATCTCAAAGCATTTAAATGATCTTAGGGATGATACTTTTGGGCCCTTCAGTAGCACATCATAGGATTTTTCTAGCAAATTATATACATGTGTGTTTGTGTGTCATTCTTTAGTTAACTAGAAACTTATGCATTGCATGAAGCGAGGTGAACACCACCACTTTACCTCTGCAGTTCCTGAGTTGGCCTGCGCAAGAGCCCGTTCAATGAAAGCAACAAGCTCTGAATGTGTGGCGCGCAGATGGGATATTTGCAAAATATGGTTGCAATACTGTGGCCACTCAATAAGACGATCCACAAACTGTTCCAAGGCTCTGGTACCAAACAAAAACATCTACATGAAGAGAAGCTATCAGTAATTCGAATAATTAAGACAACTAAGAAATTGCCCTTAGTCACACAGCGCCCCCCCCCAAAAAAAAGGGGTTAAAAAAAAAAAAGAGGAAGTAAAGTGCACTAAATGATGATACAAACTTTTGAATCTGCAGGTTTTCGTAAAGCATCTAAGACACCACGCAA